AGGCATTAAGCATGGTAAATCAATAAAAGAGGTGATGTCGATACTCTTGCTTCCTCTTTTCCTCAACTCAATGCCGCTTATCAGCTAAATCTGATTCCTGCCACTCGGCGAGCATATGAAACCAAATACAAGCTATGCACTCTTTATCCTGTAGTGTGTATTACGTGAAATGCCTACAAAAATGAGTAATGTATTCAAAGAAAATTAACTAATAAGCTCCAATGTATAAATGCTAATTAGTGCAGTACGAAAAGTCAAGGTTCGAAAGTACATCATCGGCCGATAACAACCGTAGAAAGAAGTTCTTGATTTATATAATACGAGTGAAATACAGGCTGATGCTGACAGACAAGTCCATGAATTTTACCTATAGTTCATTGACATATCCTTTTGTAAGAAAAGATTTATTTTTAATTTTTTTTTTTTTTTTTAAAAAGGCTTTAGTTGAAAGTCTAGCAGGGGGTGAAGCAAGAAACTCTCATCGCGGATGAATATATGCACGCCACTTTCATGCGCTACCAAAGATTCTTGGCCAGAAGGACAAGAATAACAATGTTGATGATGTTGACAAGCCAAGCATCAATCTTTCTGTTAACTGATCTTGCTAAGCCATGGAGACCCTGTGCTTGAAGCAATGAAGATTTAAAATACTTTCTTTTTTCTATATACACGAGGTGTTATTTCATAAGTAAAGTCAAATATTGCAGACTCTGGAATTGCTTGATTATATCCGTTTCGTTCTCGTATCCTAAAAATTACAATATTATTCTATCCCGAGGAAGGCTCCCTACTTGACCAGAGAAACTGCTGAAAAATCGCAAACATTTTTAAGATTTTCTCTCGGTTCGTTTGTTGTGGTCTTATTTTGAAAGTTTCCCTGGCTTTTGACTCAACTCCTAAGATCATACGCTAGAGCTGCTAGTAGCTGACCTACCTTGAGACAATTAGAAGCAACGACATTCATACAACAGTGCCGATGTCAACAGGATAGTCATTCTTGACATCAAATACACAGAATAAACTGAAGTAAGAGATGCATGTATTCGAGTTCTGCACTGTAGGATGATCCCGCCTAGTGGATAAGCAATCGACGCATCAAAGAAGCAGGTATTAGCATAGTGGATTATTTTCACCAGAATGCGATGAACTGCAAGATAATAAAAGCAGAAATGGCCAATACTGGCAAGAGAAATCAATACCATTCGTGAAGATGCAATGGCAAAAAATGTCACCAAGGAGTCAAGGACTTATATTAAACATGCAAATAATGCGTCAGCCCCAATAGACACTCCATTGTAGAAACTCCCATTTCCTTGATCTAGATTGCGATTGCGGGACCAACCGAAAGTTCCACCACAGCTGCCCCTGGAAGTTGACTGACAAATCTAACATGCAGCTCGTGGACCATTGTGAGTTTCACCTGATTTAGGTTACATCTGTACAATAATGACCGTACGCACTCTCACAATGAAAGAATTGCCATTTCACATGAAGAACTGCTGATAATACCTTCAGCAGTTGCTTTCGTGATGCTCCCTAGCAACCACACATCCAATCAAGCTCAGGTTTTGCATTTGAGATTTTAACCAAAAAAGTGGGCACCATATCAATGATGATGAGAACATGTTTCTCATGATAACATGTTTTTACTCAGCTATATTCTGAAGACAATTAAATGAATAAGAACAATGGTCACAAGAAACAACATGTGAACTGGACTTTTTCTCAGGATATTGAACAGTGGTGAGCACATAACCCATTACATCACAAAAAGAGTGAAGAAAAATAAAATGAAACAACATACTCTTTAAATGAAAGACGAAAGCATTCGTATCTAACCTCCTTACCAAACATCAGTTTCAATTTAAAATAAAAAAATAAAAAAAAAACATCTACCTGGTTCTCAAAATGTCTCACATGTCTATACTGGAACAGTCAGTAGAGACCCTATTCCATGGATACCACCCAGTCATCCACAGACAACTAACCCTGATTAAGCGTACTGGTTGTCTCATATTGTTCGACAACCATTGAAAGAATTTCCAACTGCACCCTAGTTCATAGTATAACGACAGATGAATAAATTTTGATACACAACATGAACAGTGAAGAAAAAGAGAGTAAATTATGTGCACAATAGTTATCCGTCAGTACGATCTTCAGTTTACATGAAATATTACAGTAAACAAAAGGTAATACCAAATATTTGCCAAGGGTCCCTCAAAGAAAAGAAAAAGAAAAAGAAAAAGATACTTGCCAAGGGTTTATACAAACAAGACCACTTAGATGATGAGCAAAGGCCAATGTCATAAATTACCTATTTTGTGTATTGACTCCTTATTGATCAAGAAAAAACAGGGAAGAATTAACAGAATGAAACAAATTATATTAGAATGCCCTAAGACAGAAGTTGCGACTGCAGACTGACGCATTACTGGAATGCAATAATGGGATTTTGTAAAGGACTACTCAAGGACAGAATTGTAAAGCAAATATGATGCCAGGAGTCAGCAGATCAAGAGGCTCTGCATTGGAAGTGTTGCACCAGTGGTCAATCAAGAAATGAGAAATCAAATTGTTTGTTACAATGGACTATTCTTACAGTAGAATTTCAGGGTAAAATGTGTTGATGTACAACAATGAAGTTCAGGTGCCTATCAATACAAAGAACTATGTCAGTTAAAAGCTCAGAATCAGCACTTAAAGAAAAAAGGTAATGGTTTCATTAAGAACCTAAGATGATCTAATCAAATGAAAGCTTTTTTGCTTCTTTCAGTTACTGATTTGTGGATCAGCTTTCACTCAACCCATACGTTTGGACTAATGATTGGTTCCATCTACAATGATTTTGGATTTGCTCATAATTACTTACATAGATTTGGTGTTGTTTCTATTATTTTTATGGACAGCTCGTATTTTTATGGACAGCTAGTATCAGGTAAAATAAAGTTATGGACCTCCAGGAAGATATCTATTGAACAAAGATGATATGGCCAGAAATAAGTATGCTAATTGTAGCTCAGAAAGATAAAAAAAATACTCTTATGACGATGATCCGGTTACATGAGAACTATATTGAGTATCAAGAGAAAAAGTATTAACTGAGATTAATTGATCAACAGATGCATGCATCATGCTGGGACAGATCTGAGAGTATAAAAGCAAAAAGCAATCCTCCTGAAACCGGTAATAAGAGAACACATGTGCTTTACATAGAAAACTTTGTAGATGTTGTGACTAAATATAAACAAATATAAAGGGGTGTAGTGTAATAGCATCATGTTGGAGCAAAGAAGATAGAGCAAGGGAAAGAAATCTTGATTGCAACAACTCTTGCATCAAAATTCTGCTAATGACTCATAAAATCATTTCCGGTGATCCCATGAGATTGAAAACTAATCCTGAACTTCTGCATCTTAACAACAATCTTTCAATATCCTAATGCTGCAGAATTTGTACTGCAACTCAGTATATAAAAGAGGTCCTACTTATGAATCATCATACAATCATTACTGCTGTTGTAGTTTTAGATAGTGCAAGATGAGTACATAGATGCGGCATTAGATTTGTATGTATAAGACTATCTAACTGCCTAAACCTATCACTTTTGTTTCAGCTTTCACGCTTTATTGGACACCAAGTACACCACATATTTCACATACTATATAATAGAAAAAAAAAATCCTCATGCAAAGCAGATGACAGTAGCCACAAAACTATTGCATGGACTAAGACCACATTTTGGAAATATAGTTTAAATTTGGGTTAACTGCAAACAGACCCCCTTTAGTATGACCAATTGTGAATAGACCCCCTGTAGTTCTATATGTTGTGAATAGACAGTACACCACATATTTCACATACTATATAATAGAAAAAAAATCCTCATGCAAAGCAGATGACAGTAGCCACAAAACTATTGCATGGACTAAGACCACATTTTGGAAATATAGTTTAAATTTGGGTTAACTGCAAACAGACCCCCTTTAGTATGACCAATTGTGAATAGACCCCCTGTAGTTCTATATGTTGTGAATAGACCCCTCTAGTATTGGTCCAAGTGCGAATACACCACGTTAATTAACTTTTCCAACTTAAAAAGTCCAAAAAATAGTAATTAGGGGTCTATCCTCACCAAGAGAACTATAAGGGGTCCATCTGCCTCCTCAAACCTTTTAACGATCTTGAGAATAAATAATTAAAAACTCACTCACGGGGTCTATTCGCAACAGATAGAACTATATGGGGTTTCTTCGCAATTGGGTGTCATACTACAGGGAGTCTGTTCGTAATTAACCTTTTTAATTTTATGTCCATTATTATGACTGTCGTGACAGAATTAGCATGTCACACCTTCATGCACACCTAGCTAAAATCGAAAAATTACAATAATCATCATTACGTGTGGATAATAGAATGTCCTTCTACCAGATAAGGAAGATAATAGAACATCCAGGTTAGAAGTCAGTTTGGTCTTTGAAGACGACAGATCTCAAAATTTCTGTGTGAGCTTCCAGTATGTAAAGATGGCATACTGAAAATTGAAGGGTGACTGTTTGGAAAAATGTCCATCCAGACACTGTAAAAGACTCTAAGGAGGAGGGGGGGAAGAAAGAAAGGGGAAAAAAAAGATATGGGGAACAAAAAGACTCTAAAGAGGACAAATTTGTTTTCATTTACCATATAGGCCACGTTAAGTTCAAACTAATTCCATGTAATTATATTCCCACCCCAAATACACGTAATCCGCCCATGAAGATAGTGCCTTAAGGACAACATAAGTAAAGCAACAAGAGAACAAAATTTGAACACTGTCCACAAGATGCAAAACAAAAATCATGGAAACAAGTTAATTTTTTTGACTTGTGTAACATACCAAGTATCTGAACAAAAGAAAAAGAAAAAGATTAGCAGCAAGGAGTAATGATTCATGCAACAGAATAGACAAATAGTAACTGATGATATTGCAAACTTCGTTCTTGCGGACTAAAGTTACCATGAGCTAAAAGATCGTACACTGAAATTAACGAGCTCGGGAAAGAAGCATACTCTAAGCAACAAATATTACATAAGAGTCTCCATAAGGAACAGAAGATATCAAGGTAACTTAGATTCAAAGCAACCAAAATTACTTCAATTTCCAATCATGAAATTTCAAGGATCAGACATCCCACAAGTTCAATTTCTTTACTTTCATGACAAGATCATGGCACTCCAAATTATAACAAGACATCAAAATCCTAAACCAAAAGAGGGAAACGAACAAAACGATGGCAAATGAAAATGTTACCACATTTTCTGCAACAGATCCAAGCGAGACAACAAATTCAAAGAAGCACCAGCCCCAGCTCCGAAGGATTTAGGGCATTCCGAATCCGATAATTATATAGATAATAATGCAGCTGCCCATCACCCGGCCCAAACTTCAGCTCCTTCAAGAACTCCTCATTCTGCATCACATCAAGCGCATTAAACACATCATAATCTGTCTGCTTCGCCACAATCAAAGCATCATTCATCAGCTGCAGCAATGGGGTCTTCGTAGTCACATTATAATATGAATAAGCCGCCTTCAACATTGAGTAATTCTGATTATTCAAAATTGAAGAGGGCAGTGTATAAAAACTACAGAAATCAGTGACCTCATGAGTCTCAGGACTCTCAACCAAGTAGCTATCAACCACATTCTCAATAGGGAGCAGCCAATGCTCGACATCATCCTCATCAAAATCCGGTGCCACTGCAAACTGACCCAAATACCCCCTCAAAAGCCTAGTCACCGCTGGCACATCCCTAAGCTCCATCTTTCGAAACCCAGGAGTCACTGTAGTCTCGGGAAGCTTATAAAGCCGAATCGTCCTGCTCATCGTCATCCTCGCTCCGAGCCTCGAGAACCCAACATCAATGAGCTTCTTAGGGTTCAGAGATCTATGCCAATACCTACAAGTAGTAATGGGAGTCGGCAGCACAACTCCGGCAGTATAAGCAGCCTGCCAAATATTCTCCAGATGAACTCTCCTCGTAACTTCTTTGATCATCACAGGCGCCAATCGCTTCGATCTGAGCTTCTTATGCACGCAAAGGAAATTGATTTCAGCCATCTTGACGACCTGATCCCTGACCCGCAACCTCGCCGGCACTCCAGTGATAAAAGCAACCAATTTCTTCGTCGACTTGACACGAACTCCGATATGCCAGGCTTTGTAATAACCAGGAGGACGAAGAGCCCACTGAAGGAACTCCTTCGAGTAATTGAATCGAAACATGTTCTCGTCATCTTCGACGTAGTTGTTCGTGAGGAGATTGTAAACCTCGGTGCAGGTCGAATCGAGATCCATGTCGCAGGTGACCCATTCATAGGGCGCAGGGAGATTGTAGGGTTCGGCCTTGACTTCGGAGAGCGGCGTCGGGGGCTCGATCGGGCCCTCGGGGAGATTGGGATTGTCGAGATCTTTGAATTGGCCAACTGGCTGAGTCTCCCAGAACTTGTGCTGCTTGTTGACGCCTAGGGTTAGGGTTTCCTGGACCCTGCGAGCTAGGGCTTCGATGGAGGCGGAGGAGTCGTCGGGATCGGATATGAGAGCTGAGTTGGAGTTAGGGTTTGGATCTGGAGTCTCGCCGGAGGACGAGGAGTTGTTGTCGCCGGTTGCCATGGAGACCGATCGGGGGGATCTCTGGATCGATGGGACCTAGGGTTTGAAGCTCGAAAGGCGAGCGGATCAAGGGCTAGGAAAGGGAAAGCAGGGATGACAATGGGCTCGGATGGGTATTTCTACTGTGAGGAGAAGCTCTGATGGGTATTTCTACTGTGAGGAGAAGGTCCGACCCGTTAAGAAAAGGAGTCGTGTTTTCTTTGTAGAAACTTGTCAAGTCCCTGACTTAAAAATAAATTTGTAGAAGACCGTCGGTCGGGTCCTTAAATATTGGGCAAGTTGCTTATGAACCACGTTACTCGTATGTTATTACGAAGTTACTTGAACTCACATTTTAGTGCTTTTTTTAAACATATTTAAGAGTTAATAAGAGTTTTTGAAGAATTGGTAGATTGTTTGGCTTCGAGAGATAAAACGCGATAGGAGATATAATGGTGTCATAGGAAAAGAAAATCTAGAATTTTGAAATTTCTAGTTAGATTAGAAAATTTTTAATATTACTGTGATCTAAGAAAATTATACTTTCTTTTAAGTTTATCTAAACATTCGATCTAGAGGATAACATGAATTACTTTTTTTCCCAAACAAAAAAGAGAATTGTTACTATTAGACATCTGATATTTGTTACTAAAAACAAAAGTTATCATGATCTTATTGAGAGTACAAAAACCAGTATGAATTAAGCATTTATTTAGAAGTCTTTATCTTTTTAATTTCGAGAATTATTTCGATCTACTTTCATGACCAGTGCACATATATCATTCTTATTTTTATTAGCCTGCTACGCTAGTCGTAGTGGGTCTAGCGGCTTTCTATTCAAGGTTGATAACAAAATTTAGAAAGACTTCTAATCTAGTTTAGCATCTCAATACCAGTCTTTTTAAAATAATTTTTGCATGATTTCCCACAAAAATTACATGCAGAAAGATGGACCTTACTGATCAATTTTGCCTCCTGCAGTTCATTCTATGTAAGGTATTTCCTGAAAGAAAAAGATGCATTGGCAACAGAGCTTTGTATAATACACAAGAAAAACATAACTGCTTGAGTATCAATATTCAGTAAATAATCTAAATGAGAACACAAATATTAAGTACATAGTTTTAAGTACACTTTTCTCTTTCCTCATATTGTTCTTATGGAGTAATTATCTTATTATCTCTTTAGGATTTTAGATTGGTCATTTCTGACTTCAAGCTGTTAAGATGCTTTGATGGTTATAGCCTGTCAATTTATCTTCCAAGAGCCAAAGCTTAAAATAAAATATAAAAAAATAAAAGAAGTTAGACTAATTCTCAAGGAAAGCACAGGATATAATAGAAACCTTCCTACTATGATTTGCAAGATTTATCTGAAAGCCAAGAAATTGATGGTCCCACCAATTTTGGAGTATGTCGACACAGAAAATCAACATTTGTGAGCAATGTTTAGACAAAGGGGCGGTGCATGAAAACTCAAAAGGTGGTACAATAAAATGAAAAGGTGGACACAAAAGTCAAATATGTAGGCTATCCTGAGGCTATAAATAGTCTCAGGATCAGACGCAGAGAGTATGTAGTGAGCAACAACAAGCATAAAGTGAAAGAGAGAGAATAAAAGAGTGTTAAGTCTTTTATGTTCCTTCTCCGGAGTAGAAGAAGTCCTCTTTCTGCCCTCATTGTTGTTGGTGTACCTCTAGCCAAATGTCTAGAGAAGAAACTTTGTATACTCATTATATTCATAGTGGAAGATATTTCTGGACTAGGTACCGTGGTTTTTACATTCAGTTGTGTTAGTCTAAGGAATGTAGACTCAAAGCTGGAATCAAACAAATTGTTGGATAGCAAGTTTCCTAATTTGTTTTGGTAACAGGATTATTAATCTGCATGTTTTAGTAACATGGGTCTTAATTTGTTTTGGTAACAGGTTATTAGGATTCTTAATCTATTTTGTTTTTTAGTTTTAGAATTCCTAGTCTGTTTTGGTTTTAGGTTTTTTTATACATATGGAACGCCTTAGAAGAGATTAGACATCAGAAAAAGAGGGTTTTGAGAGAAATTTTCAGAGAGATCTCAGAGAAATTAGATCCTATTTGTGGGCATTATAATCTTCTTGAATATTAATCAAAGAATTGTGTGGCGTGGCTCCCGAGGACGTAGGCACGATTACCAAACCTCGTTAAATCTGGTGTGTTCTTTCTTGTTTACTTTCCTGTAAGTTTTTTATCTTTTATTTGCTTAAATCTGGTGTGTTCTTTCTTGTTTACTTTCCTGTAAGTTTTTTATCTTTTATTTGCTGTGATTTTTCCTACTTTCCTACTCTCAAACCTTGTTTACTTTCCTGTAAGTTTTTTATCTTTTATTTGCTGTGATTTTTCCTACTTTCCTACTCTCAAACGCAAGGTCCGAAAAGGGAAAGGGTTCGATTTTGTTTCGAATCCCCAACAACTGGTATCAGAGCTTCGTTCAGAAGGATTGTGAGAGAGTCATAGCAGAGGAAAGCAAATCTAAGATCGAAAAATTTGACGGTTCAGACTTCGCCTACTAGAAGTCGCAGATGGAGGACTATCTATACCAGAAGGACTTGTATCGCCCGTTGATGGGCAAGGCTAAGGGAAAGAAAAAAGAAGAAAGAAGAGCCAGACGAGGATTGGGAGATACTGGATAGGAAGCCTCTAGGGAAAATCAGATTGTCGCTCGCCAAGACAGTCGCACACAACATATTAAAGGAGAAGACAACGGTGGGGCTTATGAAAGCGCTCGCGAAGATGTACGAGCAACCGTCTACCGCAAACAAGGTGCATCTCGTTAAGATACTCTTCAATCTCAAGATGACAGAAGGAAGCTCCTTCACAATGCACCTCAGCGAGTTCAACATGATTGTTGATCAACTCATCTCTGTAGACATCATGTTCGATGACGAAGTGCAGGCCCTATTGATTCTATCGCAGTTACCGGATAGTTAGGTAGGTTGTGTAATGACAATCAACAATTCAGTGGGGAAGGATAAGTTGAAGTTGAGTGAGGTTGTTAGTATGATTCTATCCAATGAGGTTAGAAGGAAATCGTCCAAATTAGAAGGTTCAGGTTCAGCCCTAAATCTTGAGCAAAAAAGCCAGAAGAAGGGTAATCAGAACAGGAATCGGTTGAAGTCAACCAAGAAGAGGTCGAACTTGAAAGTTAGGTCTATCAAAGGAAAATATTGGAACTACGGCCAGGAGGGCCATATGTCTTCAGCATGTAAAGCACAAAAAAAGGACGCGAATGAGCAGAAGGCTCATCTCGTGCAGGATGCATTGATCCTTATTATGGATAGCAATTATGATTCTTGGGTCATTGACTCAGGAGCCTCGTTCCACACTACTGCTAATAGAAAGCTTCTTCATAACTATATAGCAGGGGACTTTGGGAAAGTATACTTGGGGGATAATGAACCCTATAGTGTTGTTGGAAGAGAAGATGTGCAAATACAGTTGAAGGGCTCTAAGTAAAATCTGAAGAATGTGAGGCACATACCAAAGCTGAAGAGGAATCTTATTTCGGTTAGCCAGCTTAGAGCAGAAGGCTATGTTTTGACATTCACCGGGGATTCGTGGAGGATCTCAAACGATACTATGATTATTGCCCGAGGCAACAAAACAAAAACTCTCTACCTCAACTCACATGCGAGTGACACCCTCGTAATTGTAGCTGGTAAAGAGAGTATGGATCTGTGACAAAATAGATTGGGACACATGAACGAGATGGGGATAAAGATTCTACATTCACAGGGGAAGCTAATCAGCATCGATTCCGTAGATGTTGGTGTTTGCGAGGACTGCATCTTTGGGAAGCAGAAAAGAGTTAGTTTCCAGAAGGATGGAATGCCACCTAAAACTCAGAAGCTAGAGTTAGTTCATACCGACGTATGTGGTCTAGCTAGCATGTCTTCTCTTAGCGGTTCGGCGTACTATGTCACCTTCATCGACGATCACTCGAGGAAGGTGTGGGTATACTTCATGAAGCACAAGTCAAAGATGTTCGTGATCTTCAAGAAGTGGAAGACCATGGTGGAGAACGAGACAGATCTGAAGGTGAAGTGTCTGAGATCAGACAATGATGGAGAATACGAGCTGGAAGAGTTCAAGAGGTTCTATGCTCTAAATGAGATTCGTTTGGAGAGGGCTACTCTAGGGACGCCACAATAAAACGGTGTTGCAGAGAGGATGAACTGGACATTGACGGAGCGTGCCTAGAGCATGCGATTACATGCAAGTCTGCCTAATATATTTTGGATGGATGCGGTGCATACGACAACTTACTTGATTAATCATGGGCCATCAGTTCCTTTAGATTACGGGATTCTAGAAGAGGTTTGGAGTGGCAAGAAGATTAATCTCTCATATTTACGAGTATTCAGTTGTGTGGCATATGTTCATATTAGTGACCATGTCAGGGACAAGCTGGAAGCTAAGTCACAGAAGTGCACATTCATTGGATACAACATTGATGAGTTCGGGTATCGTCTTTGGGATGAGAATTGTAAGACCCTAGAGGGGGGTGATTAGGGTCTTATGCTAATCTAATCTGATTGAATGCCAATTAAAATTACTTAACAAATATATTCTTGCAAGATAGATATATAAAGAGTTATGTGCAAGAATATGCAATGTACACAAGGTGATATATCCTATATGATAGAAATATGTGTAAGGATATATGAACAATAAGATATATCCTAACAAAGAGGTATAGACAATATATGTGCAAGGATATAAAATTAACACGAGGGTGAATTAATCATAAACTAGATAGAGGGAAAAACAACAATGAGCAATTGACAAAGGCAATATGAATAATAAGCACGAATGTAAAAGTACGCCAATGCAATCACAAACAAAACGATATGTTTACGAGGTTCGGTCCCCACGACCTACGTCCCCGCTCCTCACCTCGAGGAGATCTCCACTATCACAACCGGGTTTTCTACGTTCACCCGAACAACGTTTACACCTCACAATACAATCACTATGTAATCACACCTCACACACTAAGTGTTGGTCCTAGCCCGTGTCCTCCTCCTCAAGTGCTCGGTTACAACCTCTCCCTAGGCACGTCAACCGACGCCACTCCTCTTGGATTCGACCCCGTCTCTCACCACACACTTCTCTCGGTGTACAAGTGTATTACAAGTGAATCCTCACAATTAAGCACAATATAAATCAATTGATTGTTCTCTAAACAAGGTGAGAACTCAATTAAGCACAACTCTTAGTCACAAACCCACAACCCCAAATTATACTATGAATGTAAATACAATAAGCTCAATAGGTTGTGTGTGAACAAAGAGATAATAAAATCAACTAAACTCAATATGAACACTAGCTTAATAAAAAGATAATCAAACAATATAAAATATGAAGCTAGATTGAGTTTAGAAAACTTCTCAATAGATCAAGAGTGGAAGGAGAAGAGTTGGATGCTCAAACACCAATAGATGATCTCCTCACACCAGCTGACTTATCCGGTCGACCGGTGCGGTCGACCGATGGAGCTCTCGGTCGACCGTACCGGTCGACCGACAGACTCTCTGTCGCCCAGTAAGAAATGAACATATGAGCGGTCGACCAGATCGGTCGACCGAAAACTGATATATATATAAAAACAGATTTTGAAAGCTGTATATCTGATTTTAAAACACTGTTTAAAAATATCAAATAAATTCCAAAAAATATAAAACTCTGGGGAATGATTGTAGACATGATAGTAAACATGCTACAGCGACTGGTTATCAGAAAGGAGTTCCCAAATGTAAAATATAATCATTTTGCAAGGAGGTCCAAAACACGAAAATATAAACACATGAGTTTTGACATTTTAGCTAAACCAACTTTTGAAACTTTACAAAATGATTTTATAGACATGAAGAAAGATGTAAACTATTGTTATGAAGTCTATAAACAATGAATGTAGTATTTTATCAAAATACACATATAATGCATTAAAAACATGATTTCATTGAACTCACTAAAATTGATATTGATGAAATCATATATATGCATGTAAGTATGAAACAAAAATATGTTTTCTAATTATATTCAATTGTTTCATAGTAAAACTTGAAAACTATCAAACCAAAACATATGTGTATATATATAACTATATATATACAAAAACCAAAACGTGTATGTGTGTATATGATTGAGCTTAAAGTACTAACACACATAATATAAAATCTAAACTATATTACCCAAGCTTGAACTTGATCTTCATTAAGCTTGACTTGGTAATCTCGCGGATGAAGCTTGAACTTGATCTTTAACTTGAATTGTACGTTGCTTCACCGACATTCCGCCAACCTCCATTTGATATGATCGTTATGGCGCAATCCATCCAACCTCCAACAACGTTGTTTGTCTACAATACATAGGAATGCACAAACACTAGACAAACAACATTAGTAGTAAATTATTTGTTAAACATCATCAAAACAAGAAGGCCAACAAGAATAACAGGAAGATCATCAGAAGCAGGGATATGATATTCAATAAGGAGGTGATGTACAAGAACAGGGACAGTGCTAATGATAGCCAAAATAGTGGAGCAACACTACGGATACAAGTGGATTCGAGTACATGGATTTGGAGGAACTTCCAGATAGGGAAGACAAAGTCAATTCTGACCAAAGAACGGAGGAGGCTCCATGTGCAGAGACGACTACCCAGGACGTGGAGCTCAGGAGGTCATCCAAGGTACCCAAACCGAATATCAGATATCTCTCATCACTTGATTATTTGCTTTTGACAGATAGTGGAGAACCGGAGTTCTATGAAGAGGCTATGCAAGTGAGTGAATCTCAGCAGTGGGAGCATACGATGCAAGAGGAGATGGATTCTCTACACACTAATGGACATGGGAGTTAGTCCAGCTACCTGCACAGAAGAAAGCTTTGCATAACAAATGGGTCTATCGGGTCAAGCAAAAAAGTAATGGAAGCAAGAGATACAAGGCCAGATTAGTCGTGAAGGGGTTCCAACAGCGGGAAGGAGTGGACTATACGGAAATATTTTCCCCCGTGACCCAAGCAAAAAACTAGAGTTGTACGCAACTTCAGTTGGCTTTCATGTGTAGGAGATGAAGACGGAGCCACACTAGGAGGATCGCCGAGATCACCGGGTTGATGATGATTGAAGAATGGATTTTTTTTTTCGTGTAGGAGGATGCTTGCGAAGAAGGGAGAATTCGGGTGAGCTCGTTGATTGTGCTTTAGTCTCCAAGTGGGAGATTGTTAGTCTAAGGGATGTAGATTCAAAGCTGGAATCAAACAAATTGTTGGATAACAGGTTTCCTAATCTGTTTTGGTAACATGATTTTTAATCTGTTTTGGTAACAGGATTCTTAATCTGTTTTGGTAATAGGTTATTAGGATTCCTAATATATTTTATTTTTTGGGTTTAGAATTCCTAGTATGTTTTGGTTTTAGGTTTTCTATATATATGGAACACTGTAGAAGAGATTAGACATCAGAAAAAGAGGGTTTTGAGAAAAATTTTCAGAGAGATCTTAGAGAGATTAGATTCTATTTGTGGGCATTGTAATATTCTTCAATATTAATTAAAGAATTGTGTGGTGTGGCTTCTGAGGACGTAGGCACGATTGCCGAACCTCGTTAAATCGGGTGTGTTCTTTCTTGTTTACTTTCTTGTAAGTTTTTTATCTTTTATTTGCTGTGATTTTTCCTACTTTCATACTCTCAAACACAAAGTCCGGAAGGGTAAGGGTTCTATTTGATTGTTTCGAATCCCCAACAAGTTGAAGGGTTTTCCACATTAAAATTCTTGAATATTTCTTTTGGTCATTTTATTATTATTTGTCTTATTAAACTATTTTATCGATAGAGGAAGGGGGAAAGTCAATCAATCAACCCCTTTTTTTGCCAATAGAAAATCTGGCATCCTCTTAGAACATGCATTCCATACTCGCAAGATTTGTCAAGAGTACATTTACAGCCAAAAAAGTCTGATTCTGACAATGCCAAGGGGTTCATTAGTAATGGAGGGGAGCCGCCTACCATCGAAAGAAAGGCTTGGAGTGAATGCTCCTCAATCTCGTCTACTTTTGTGACCAGAATATTTTACCCCCACAAATACCTGGAATTTAGCTTCATAAAATAAAAACAAGTCGTTACTAGAAAGAAAATATCAGACATGTACGCAAGGAAAGATTACTATTGTTCCCAAAAAGTGAACGAGAAGTACTGCTTTGGCTGTTTCTCTTGGAGCTAACTTTGTAACTTCTACATTTTGTTCAAGTGCAAAATATTACGCTTATTGCCATGAATTCAAGGTTAGGATATGTCCAAGGACTATAAAGGATGTATCACTTGTGTACTTTTATCTTTTCTGTGATATTTTTTTTCTGTGATCTTCTAGGCTATGATCTCGGTTATAGCACAAAATAATGGACTTGAGAGTTCTATCCATGAAATATTACTCTGAGAATTCTTTGACAAATAATGTAGCAATTCTGAGCCAGACTTAATATAGTTGATAACCTATAAGATGTTGAATCGGTAAAACTTACTGTTGAATCATTACAACAGAAACTTATATAGCAATATCACAACACATTAGGACCTTCAGTTACATTTGAAAACAATGCTGAAAAAATATCATCAAGAATGCGAAGAGTTTACTTTCCATGCTGAAGCCCACATTATCGGCCGTCCTTTCCATCCTAACAATAAACACCCTTTCTCACTCCCAGTAGTATAACCATCACAATTATAAGCAGACACTAACATTTTCACTTGACTAACTGATTCAATCCCAACCCCTTGAAACCCTGCTCTCCCAAGCTGCCTTCTCCATTGATCAGCCCTCTCATGCCTTTCTACTCTTTCTCCTCCTTCACATGCTATAATGTTCCTAATTGCATCGGCAAAATAACTATTTTCTATCTTCATTCTTCGCAAACTAGACCTTGTCAAACTAGCCTCAAGTGAATCAAAAACAGCCGAATAGTAATGCAGGGATTCAAGAAACCTGGCAAGAAAAAAGGGCCCATTGTGGTTTGCATCCTGCTCGACTATAGTAAACAATTCAGGTTTCAGTTTCTTGATTGCAACTAGCACAGCCTTGAGAGATCCTCGGGTCTCCTTCACATACCGATGGAGATGCATTATACTGTTAAAAACCAGTGTTTCTCCTTGTCTTATGTCCAAGTTTTCGGCAGTTAGGAGTGATGACTCATTCATGATACGAAACTCAATGTGTACTCCAATTGTGTTTGCATTTTTTAACAGAATCTTCATGTTAGACTCAAGATCGGAGATTCTTGAATCAGAGGAAGTTATGCCGGTGATTCTGATTCGTGGTGGACCTTCTGAGTGAGAGGCAAGCATCTGGATCAAATTATGCCACTGGATTGCATGTGACATACCGAGATCAACAATGTGCAGATAATCTTTACCTTTAGCAGCTTGACAGATACTGTCATTGGCTGCCATGAAGGCGAAAGAAATGTAGGGAGTGGTCTCATAAAGATGATGGAACGCCTCCATTTTCTCCTCTTTGGTAACAATAGGATTATCCTTATTGGTAGAAGCAGTGTTTAAAGAACCACTTACACCAACAGTTTGCAGAAGGGAGAGCCTGGATTTTAATCCTACAGCAAAGTGAAAGCAAACTCTTTTTAACGAATCGCCATTTTGGTCTGCTAGTGGCCAGATTTGGCTAAATATTGAGGCAGCAAGGGTTGTATCTCGACATGCAACTGCCTCAGCACAAGCTAGAAGCAAGTGAACCAGTTCTAGTCCTTCGTTGATTGATGCAGGAGCAGTATCAGGATCAGCATTGTCCATTAGAACTGGCTGCATTGTCGTATCTTCTAAATAACTAGCAAACCCATTGTCTGTACTTTCTGGTAATTCTTCAAATAGGCTCGTATTGATGACGCTATCGATGAAGCTAGAGTCCTCATCATCGCACCCCGAGCATGGAGGACTACTAGAATCAAAGGAAGAAGACCATGTCTCAATTTCAAATAAATAATCTTTCAAATCAGGATCTTGATCCATTCTTTCAGGGCAGAATCTTCGAATAGCCATATCTTTGTTTAGGATTTCATCAAAATTGATTTCATCCGATTGAACTGAAGTGAAAGGGAATTGCTGCGTTGAAAGAGAAGAATAAGAGGGGGGAATGTTCATGTTGTCTGTAAGAATATTTTCTATCTGAGAAAAGGTGACTCCTCTCGTTACTCATATATAGTTGCATCATTACAAGTATTTTTAAAATCTCAGAATAAAAATCATCAAAAAAAGACTAGAGAAATGGCCAGAGAATTGAGCAACTTCTTGTCTTTTGTGCCATCAGTATTCTTACAGACACATTCTCATCTTCTCTAGGCAAGTCCATGTTAGGCCCTGGTAACCGTGCATGCATCAATATACGTGCAGAGCTCCACGTGCTTCAATTGAATTGTTCATGCCAAATCCCTAGGGCCTATGAATCAGGCTATGAATGTGCTTCCTTGCTACAAACGAGTTGGTAGTCACAACAAGCTGCAATTGATGGGCAAGCAATTAAACTGGTACAATATATTTGGACTAAGTAGAACAAGTACACATCTCACCAGACAAACAAGGGCATCAAAGTCCTAAAATTATGTGTACTTATTAGTTTACATGTGTGTGGATATATATTAATCTTAAATCTACATTTACACAAGAAATTTATAGTTTCCCACCTAAATTTTTCGCATTGATTCCTAATGCATATGGACAAACTAGCATTGTATATATGCGAATAAGATGGGATCATTGAAAGTGAGGTTGACCTTTTCCTGACTTTCAAGTCACTATAAGAAAGTTCTTGGCTACTTCCACATTGCCGAAAAAATAATTCTGTTACTTGCTCTTAATCCTTTTAATAACTTATTTAAATATTTCTAGCACAATGGATACTTACATGCTTTTGAACAAATGCTTAACTCGGTCATCATGATAATACGATTCATGGACAAGTAGTAAATAGAGGACTTTACACCTAGAACACCGGGCATGTTCCTTTATTGAGAACTGCTTTTACTGATATTGTCTCCTTTTCCTTCTTAGGTGCTAGTTAAATTCTTGTTGATTTTCTGTGCAATTGGGGTTAAAATCTTCATATATATGAGATTACTTATTCTGGCGTCCCAATTGCTACTATTTAATTTTTAGTACATCCTATTATTTTGCTACTAGGTACCTCTTTGTTTTAGAATAGAGATCCTGTGTTAAAGTAGTACTCTCTTTGGCCCTGTAATTAGTATAGGTTAATGCATGCAGTTGATTACACCCATAGCAACACAGAAATTTAACATCACATAATCTAATAATCTTATTCTAATTAAATTATTCACTTTGTATTACTTTGGTAGCTCACATGACAATCTTAGAAGACAAAAAAGTCAACAAAAATATTTTGATAAAACCAGTTCAGTTCCTTAGTAGTTTGATTAATTAAGTCGCACCAAATTGAGATTTCACAATTTTGAAAAGATCATATCAGTACCGTTTACAATAAGGGGCACTTTGTTATAGAGTAAGCTCATCCTCTATCCTTGTAAGATAACTATTTCTGTGAATAATATGTGGAGTGTATTTTTCGCTTATAATTCAACCAAATGTATCTTTAAATTCCATCTTGAAAAATAACAATGCTATTTAAACAAATCTGAAAATTGGTTGGTGATTGGCATGATATTGAGTCAAGTTTACAAGTAAGGCTCTGTAATGTGGTTCGAATTAGTATTATAACATTAACCAACACAATAGTCGGTTTGACTATGTGATGGATGGTTATACCATTCGTTAAGACGAGCAAAAAACAAGTATAACATCCATGATTCCGATAGACTTTGCCAAAGTTGGAATTTATCAAAGTTGTAAGAATGTGAAATGTAAGGGACATTGTTAGTGATAAAAATCCCAAGGGTGTCAACGGGTCAATATGCTTGCTCAAAAGGGAAAAAAGAATACATCAAAGTATTTATTAAACTTCAACATGCATTTTTATTCCAGTGTAGAAAGAAAGAGTTTGCATAGACAGGACAAGCATCTCACAGGATCCAAATGATCATCCAAAAACCTATGTTTAGATAGGCTTGAAGATGATACAAGGAGGGTGGCTGAGGTTATTTTGTGCTTCCTTCTCAGTTTGCATTTTAAAATGAATAAAATATAAACATTCAAATTAGCGTTATGGTTTGTGACAAAGATGGCAGTTAGGCAGCAGTTTGGTCAGAAGGAACAAATGAAAGAAGAGGTTAGTGTTACATTAAAAATGAGAAAGGTGTTAAGTTCATGACATATGGAAAACACTTGCAAAGTGCTAGCAATAGATGCTAGCTAGTGAAAATGATGACGAAAGATATGCTGAAGATTTATTCTACCACAAGAAACTAGCATTCACTAACAAAAATCAGACAGACTCTTATTTTATAAACTTCTCTAAGCATTTTGCAGCTTTCAGTTAATAGGAAATGCCTAAAATTACAACATCTGAAAATGAAAAAGAACTTTGAATGAGAACTCTATATGCAGATTGGACTGTTTCTGGTTAAGTTATGACTAGGAATTCCATTTTTATATGATTATGACTTGTGACGATAATTTGTTGTATTTAAATATGCATGGTATCATGCTCAAAAGCATCCAGGTACTTGAAGAATAATCCCAATGCTTCTCCTAACCAGCATTTTGTCATCTCATCTGCACATAGCATATAAAAACCTCTGCAGGCATCCAATTGGATTGATGACTGTAAATCTTGTAAATCATCATGACTCAAATGCTCAATTATTTCACTAAATTTTGTCACAACTTCAAGCAAAATAGAAACATGACTCCTTACGTACCCAATTTTTAGTTTATATGAGGTAATGTGACTAATGTCCTTTTTCTGTTTCTTATTTTCCCCAGACAATGCTTTTTGTAGCTAATATAAATTGGAAGTTGATCCTGGACAGAATTGGTTAGCTTCCTATAGCTATGTTTTTGTTTGAGAAATTTAAAACTCTACAGAGCAAAGACATTGGACTCTATTCCTGTTAACTTGAATTAACTTGGATGCAATCCAAAACCATTACATTAAACAACCCAAAGAAAAATCATTCTGCACTATCATGATGGGGGAATGTTTTCGAATTTGTTTCTTCGGTGTCAGTTCATGTTATGTGTAGACTGTCTAAAAATTACTGTAGATAGTTGATCCCATCAAACACCAATGATGGAAGTTACAATTTGACTGCTTTCAGAAAGCTACAATTTAAAAAAATTTATGTAGATCAATGAAGATTACAATCTGACGACCTTCACAACAACCGATGAAAGGTCTAATTCAACAGCCTTCACAATCAACATCATGAGTTAAAATATGATGACTCTCATATTTTTAAGGAGCGAAGACGAAGGTTATAAGATGACGATCTTGACAACGCTCTAGCAAAAGAGACTACAAATTGACAGTTTTTTCAAATCAAAATGCAAATATCTCTCAAACCGTAAGGAATTTGAAAAAATGAACAGGAGCAAACCAAACCCTTTAGGTCAGATTGGTCTGCTCCGTCTCGTCAAGATAGTCGATTTTTATATATAATTCGTTCAATTCTGACTTACGGTTTGAAAGTTATGACCTATTCTTCGCAGCAAGTTATATTCTGAAGTCCGTCTGTAAGACTGGACTTCGCCTGAACATTGGACTTCACCTGAAGCTCGCCAAGCTCGCTTGAGGCTCGCCTCTACATTCCGGAGTAAAAACAATGCAACCATTGCATTCTCATCAACAAAACGTGGCGTTTTCAATCACTAACGCAGCACAAACGCTGCGTTCTTAAGCCACAAACGTAGTTCAGATTTATCCATGGACGCAGCTGGAATCCAGGTGCTAACGCAGCTTCCAAATGCTGCGTTCGAACGCCACTAACAGCACAAACGTAGCTTCTAGGCACTGTGTTCACAGCCGCTGACACAGATCAAATCCAGCCGCTAATGCAGCTTCCAGACCATGCGTTCGAACGTAGGTTCACACCTAGAACGCAAATCACTGCGTTTGACTCATTCAAACGGTTCTAAAAACCATTTTCCTCCCACGATCTGGGGAGTGGTTTAAGGGGCTGTTATACTGGCTTAATGGGGTAATTAAACCCCCATTAAGGAGCGGATTAAGGGGCGATTACACCCCAAAATCTCTTATAAATAGCTAAAAATTCATCTTAGTTCGGGGCTACTTCGGATCCTCTTTTCGGCAGCAAAGAAGATATCTTTTGACAGATCATCAAAAGAGCTTGAATCTTTTAGAGATCGGCATTTTTTCCTATGCAATCGAAGGTCTTCTTCTACAACAGAGATCTTTGAAGCTTTCTTCTTTGGCTTACAAACCGATTTTTTATTTAAATTAACTTTTTTATAGAGTTTTAAACTCATTCCGAGTTCTGTTCAACTTGCCATGCAAGTTCCCCACGACATCAAATCCGAGAAGAATAGACTTTGTTCTAATGAGGTGAAACGTCAGATCGTCAACGAGAAGCAAAGTTAACACGAATTTCGAGGGAGGTATCTTATCGACACCAAGAAGAACCTGTTGGCCTTCTTGTTTTGATGATGTTTAACAAACAATTTATCACTAATGTTGTTTGTCTAGTATTTGTGTTTTCTTATTTATTATAGACAAACAACGTAGTTGGAGGATGGATGGAATAGAGCTTCAACGATCATATCCAAAGGAGGTTGGCGGAATGTCGGTGAAGCCTTGCTATTCAAAGTTCAAGATCCAAGTTCAAGCTTCATCCGCGAGATTACCAAGTCAAGCTCATTGAAGATCAAGATCTAGCTTGGGTAATATAGTATAGGTTTTATATTATGTGTGTTAGTACTTTAAGCTCAATCATATACACACATACACGGTTTGGTTTTTGGTTTGATAGTTTTACTATGAAACAATTTAGTTATATATATACATATATGTTTTGCTTTGATAGTTTTCTAGTTTTACTATGAAACAATTGAATATAATTAGAAAACATATTTTTGTTTCATACTTATATGCATATATATGATTTCATTAA